ATTCACCAAAAGAGAAGTTTTTTATCTCTCTGGAACGCGGCGAAAATTTAAGTTTTACGTAAGGACTTATTGAAACCTCCTTGGAGACAGTAAACTTTTATACGGATAGTTCATTCAGCTTGAATACTTCAGTTAATCATTTATAAGAACATTTCTATCATAAATGAGTGAAAGTTACCCCAAAATTTTTATTTATTGGCCTAAAAAGTAGAAATTTTGAGGAAATGAGAGGTATAAATGGACCAAAAGAGACATTATAAGGAAGACAAAGAGGTCCATTAATAGTATTTATCATCCTAAAGTCATCTTGTGTATCATATTCAACTGTTTGTAGGCAGATGAGATAAATATTTGATCATGTATTGGTCCATACTATATTTTATCATGATGCGGCTTGGTTTTAATTTTCGAAAAAATTTTGCTCAAATCGCTGTAGATGTCGTCTTACATTATACTTGATTTTTCTCAAACTATTGAACTGATTATGACAAAACTTGACAGAAATGCTTGAAATAACCAGTATTACAAAGGAAAAAAGTCACATTCAGTTTATTTAACAAAAAAGTCTTCTTTAGGTGTTATACCACCAAATCATAGTACGTCACATTTGGTTGCATACGAAAATAGGTCGAAAAAAAATATTCCCTTGAATTTGACTGTTGTAGGTAATTGATCCTACATTTCATTGCAGTAAAACAATCCTGAGTCATAAACATATATCTTGGGTATTTCAAAGCACCATTATTTCTTTATTTTGGGTTTCTATAGAATATTTTGGAAACTTGAGGTTACATGGTTACTAAAGCTTGTACACAGGTTAAAAAAGGGGGAAAATTTGATTGGTTAACTTCCAGTGATGGTTATTTTCTTATATGCAATGAAATGTTATGTGAAATTTTTTCTATAGTACTGGACAGGATAAAACTTTACTCATGCCAAGTATTTCTTTATTTGAAACAAAGATAAATTCTGCACACTTTTTTGAAAAGTGCAAATTTAACAAAGACTAATAGGGGAAAATCAATGGTGGTTTTACACCTAATAGACAGCTTTAATTATCTCAGAATATTCTTAGTTTGTATTCTTGTTGCTTGCATAAAATGTAGCTAATAATATATTGTTGTTTAGGTTTAGATTCTCAAGTTTCTGAATAAAGTCTTTGGTACCTTTGATGTATTCTGATTTTGCACAAGTGGGGAAAAGTAATTATATATTTTATAACCATGTTATAATATTAAAATTCACGACAAAACCTTTTCTTTTAAGGAGAATAATATGGTGAACGCCAAAAAATCCCCAAATACTCTAACGACACTGGCGTATAATCAGAAGGTACAGTTGTAGTGAGAACAGTTTCGGTAACATTTTTAATGGATAACATACTTCACATTCCTGATTGATTAAATATTACTTTTAGAATTTACAAAGCAAAAGAATATTATAGGCTGTAGTATCAGAAATATTTAGAATACATGCAATTCTTTATAAATAATCTTTTAAAAAAGGTTAACAATACCAACGCGACATTCACTCATAAATCGAAAACGAACTGGCAACGCCAAATCATACACTGAAAGTCTTAATATAGATTTTTTTATGTTTCTTTTGCATAAATATCGGTGGAAAAGAAGAAGAAATTACATGTTTTTTTCATAATTTGATTGACCGTTATTGGATATGTGTTTTAAACGAAAGCAAATGTAGCTACAATGCAGTCTTCATTTTTTTTTTGTTTATTACCAAATGCATAAAACATAAAAAAGATTACAGGAACCATCAACAACCAAATACGTAAATTAAATAAAAACGTACAACAGGTGGACCAGATTGTTTGACTTGATACTGGTGCAACGTGAGTTTGGGATTGTAAATAAACTTACGTCCTAAAAACACCCCCTTTACCATGTATCTTGCAAAGGGAAGATACACCATAGAAAGCATTATTTGTTATGAAGCAAGAGTCTTACATCTGTATAGTTCATTTTTATGGGTGTAAATCTCAGCCTACATTAGGTCAGCAATTTACATCCGGGGATAACATATTGCTAATATTACCTGAAAAATGCAAGAAATTACAAACATACAAAAGTTTAGCAAAATTACCTCAAAAATGTCATTCTGGTAAATAGATATAAACTACATGTTATACTACTATGATTGTTTAGCTCTTTGTGGCAGGTAACGAATATAACAACAAATAAAGCAAAATGAAGAAGAAGACGGTTACATTGGGTCAGCAATATACATCCGGGAATAACATATTGCTAATATTACCCCCAAAATGCAAGAAATAAAAAACATACAAAAGTTTAGCAAAATTACCTCAAAAATGTCATTCTGGAAATAAACATTTTGCATTTGTTTTGAAAAAAAAAAATAAAATTCAAAAATAAAAATAAAAAGTTTGCTATTACTCCAAAAACAATAAAGTATCGCCAAAATTAAAAAAAAAATTATTAAAAAAACGTTATACTTAAAAAGGCGAAGCGAAGCAAAATCGGTGATGTAAAAATGTGAATTGGATGTATTTTCATAATATTTTTGTTTACCATGTTTACCGAATTTCATTTCCAATTTCTAGAATTAAGGCAAGATATGAAGCAAAATTGTCTGTATCTGTGGTATTCTTTATTTCTAGTTCAATGTAACCTATAATATCATGAATATGATGCCTTGACATCAATATATTTAGATAAAAGTTGTTCAAATCCACTTTATGTTGGAAGGTTTTGTATCATACCACACTCTTATTTTATATCAAATGACGTTTACGTCATCTTTTTTATCAACTGTAATTAACAGTAATTGCCTGATTTCATTTTCTTAAAGTTTTTATCTAAAAGCAGACATTGAGGTAAATCAAGGTTTTAATTGTGTTTAAGGATGTCAGTCGGACAAAGCGGCATTATTCAGAAATAAATAGGTAAAACCTACATGTTATACTACTATGATTGTTTAGCTCTTTGTGGTAGGTAACGAATAGAACAACACATAAAGCAAAATAAAGAAGAAGACGGTGTTAAGATATCGAATATTTCCGTACTGGAACATGGGGAAGAGACCATAGCAATTTAAAAAGAAATTTCGTGTCATTTTATGTTTTAGTTTTTTGACATTTGAAAAGTTATAATGAATGCCTAAATATAGGGTCCTTCTCTTTTATGATGTTAAATTATTAAAATCTTTAAACATATCAAATACATTGCCTCACGTTTATCATGTTTAAGATCTATCCATATTTTGTGAAGTTGAAGACTCGTTCAGTGTCGGAATGAAATGTTATTGTCTATATCCGGTCATTGATTTTATTTTCCCTTTCATTTTTTGATATTTTGCTTCTTTTTTTTAACATCTATTATATCAAATTTGTGTTTCATTGTTTTGTTTTTTTTTTTAACATAAATCAGGCACTTGGTATAATCGTTTAAATTATTTTACACTTGTCATTTCGCAGCCTGACATAATTTAATGTGCGGAATGGGTTTTGCTCATTAAAGAAAGCCGTACGGTGACCGATAGTTCCTTATTTCTACGTCATTTGGTCTCTGATTGAAAGTTGTCTCATTCATAATCATACAACATCGTATTTGTATATTACATGTCACATTAACCATGAGTTACAAAGGCCAGTAACTAAGAGGTCCCAGTATTGTTAAAACATCGCATTTGCTGAGGAAAATGAAACGAGAAAAAAAATTGCCACTGTGATTTATCATTACTATTTATATCTCTATACATCGCAACGAAAAAAATTATTTGGAAAAAATAGAGAATGTTTATAAACTTTATATATATCTTCAGGTACACTTTCTGTAATTTGAAACAATTTTATTTTTAAAACAATTCCTTTCGTTACATTTTAATGATATGCCACATGTTTACGTGAAATTCACTTCAAACGAGCTTATACGTTAAAATTTTAACGAAAATTCATGTTCAATTGAATTTCACGGAAATTTTTCATGAGAATTGCACGTGAACTTTACCAAAAATAATTGGTTATTTTCATGATTGAAATGAAGGTGTATCGTTGATATATGTTTCCTCCATTGAATTTTTTATATTTTGCCAAAAGGTAGATGTTTCCATTTTATTTGTTATTACAGAATTATGATTAAATGTATGGATCACCATGCTATTCCTCAAACTACAAGTGCCCAATTTTGCATAGATTATTCATGAAAAATAGTTTTTGTGAACAAAGAGAAATCTATGTGACAGAACTTCGAAATAAAATTTGAGAAGATAGGTTTTATAATTTGTTTTCTTACTAAAATTAAAAAATGAAAATTTCATTAACATTCATTTATAGTTTTTTACAGTAAGAGTTATCTCCCCTTGAACATTTGTTTCAAACAAAAAACAAATATTTCGTATTTGGTAAAACAGTCTAAATAAATGATGCAATAAATCACTAATATTTCTTTAATCAAACAGTCTTAAACATTTACTGCCAATCTGTCTCAAAGTTCACAGATTTAAGGAAAGAACTAAACCGATTGTATACTGCTATTTTACAATCCAAGATGGCGGTATACAGTAAATCTATCTTAAGTTTGAAATTTAAGGTGTGATTTAAATATCGTTCTTTAGAAATTCACTTGACTTTCATATCAGATTCAGGTGAAACTCCTGTGAAATAAGTTCACAAGACTTTCAAGTGAAAGCTCGTTTGATGTGCAATTCACATGAATGTCACGTGAAATTCACGTAAGTAAAATTTCCCTGTGTAATCTCAAAGTAAATATGCCATTTATTTATTCATAAAGACTAGTCATGGTTAAAAGTGTTCCTTCTTGAACTGAAATATATTAGTTGAACACTCAATGTTTGTGAATGTTGTATTGTCTTGAGAAACATCTATTGCAGTCTCCCCATCAAAGCCAGACTTTATATCAAGTTTGATAGTTTCTTCAACAAAATGGGAAAAGCAAGAAGACACTTCCTCAAGTTTCCTGGGCGAAAGGAATATTTCTTTCAGCACCAAGCAAAGAGTTTCAATGAAGACACTTCCAAATGACACAGAACCTTCTACCAACTTCCAAGTAACTAAAAACCCTTTAACATTCTTTCGTGAAGGGGACACAGTGAAGTTCACATGTACGGGTAACATTGGAAACCCCCCTGGTAATTATATTTGGCAGATGATTTCACCACAACAAGACCAACAGATAATTTATTTCAATGAAACTACAGAGAAAGAGGAGATATCTGAAAAATGTTCTTTCAGAGGCACCAGCAATCTGACAGTGCATATAGCCACAGACCATTTAAAAGTGAAATTTCGCTGTTTTGAAGAATCACAAGCAGATGTTCCTGAAACGTATGTAGAAACACCGCCACTTGATGTACAGTGTGAGTATGACATTTGTTTTAACTTTTCAATGAACTAAAGTACCTTCTTAGAGTTTTAATGATCAGAGATGAAAATATAAGATCCAAGTATCACATATTATGAAAAAAGTAAAATAACAAAAATATCAAACTCCAAGGAAAATTCTAAAAGAAATGTCCCTTATCAAATGACAAAATTAAAAGTTCAAACACATCTAAAGGAAAGGATGACAACTTTCATATTCCTGACTTCGTAGGCATTTCCTTGTGTAGAAAATGGTGGATTAAACCTGGTTTTATAGCTAGCCAAACCTCTCACTTGAATGACAATCGGATAGAATTTCATTATAAAGACAGCAATGCGTGAGAAGAACAAACAGACATAATAGGTATAAATATAAAAAGAAATTGAAGTACAGCAGTCAACAGTGTGTTATAATTTTAATCACTATAACAAAAACAACTAATAATATGTCAACAAAGGCATATAGACACTCTATTGACAAAGCACATACGCCAAAACAAAGACAAGAATACAAAAAATAACTACCATAGCACAATAACACCATGTTGGGATGTATAAATACCGAGCCACGCCAAATGGGTATTACCAAAAATCCAGAATTGTCAAAGTAGCTTTTTCTACTAAATATAAGTAATCTTCGAATGTAGTAAATATAGATGTTACATTTCAATGAAGTAGTCATCAATACATAACGAATTCAATTGTTGACGGCATTTGTTAACGAAAATTGGGATTCATTACATATATGCAAATAAGTGAAAAAATCTTATCACCAAACTGAAACAAATGGGATCAACCCTGAGTTATTGTGGGGTTCATGTTGATAAGTTTTTCTATGTTGTGTTTTTTAGAGTGTTGTTTGTCTCTTTGTCTCTTTTGTTTTTTTCCATGTCGTTGTCAGGTTGTCTTGAGATAGATATGTGTAGTTAAATATTAGAATGACAATATATTTTATGCTGATCATGTTTGCAGTTCACGTTAGAAATATTCACATTGACAAACAGCCAAACCAAAAACAATATAATGATAAGACAGACAAGATAACTTTGACATGCACTGGAAGTGGAAATCCAGAACCAAATTACAGATGGTTCAAAGATGACAACAAAACAAACATACTTTCATGGACAAATATCTGTGTTATTGACGATGTTATACAAAACAATAGTGGCGAGTACACATGTGAAGCTAACAATATTATAGATAACGTTAACTACAGAAATTCAACCTCAGTGGAAATTTACATAAGTGAGTTAATTATGATACATTGTGTATTTTTAATGACAATGTTGTGTTACGTTATATTACATTTGTCATTCGACTAGGGTGTTTTCCGTTGCTAGAGCGGTTGTAAATATTAATGAATTATTATCATTCTGTCTTTTTAGTTAATTTCATTTACAAGGTTATATGATATGTCGATGAATTCGTTAAAAAATAAAAAAAATTATCTTATTAAACTGAAAATGTAAATGACAATTTATAAATTTTGTGGCGCGTCTGGCGTAAAAAATTATAAGCCTGGTATATGAGTTTTATTTAACTATACAATCGCCTTTTTTCTAATATAAAAATAGTATATCGATGTTTAAATATCTCATATATCCTGGTAAAAAAAAAAATACAAACATATTAGTAAACATAAATGGGTTCGCTTGGAATCGAATGGAACTAGAAAGTTCGATGTCTATTTATCTCGTAGCCTTGCTGAAGAGGATGTTCAGTTATGATTAAATATCTGGTCACGAATCGCTATAATAAGACAATGTCTGGCATATCGTATCAATTTAGATGTATAATCGCCATAGGCTAAAGTAAATCTAATATATGGGGTGTCATACTTTTCAAGAATGAGCAAATGTCACTAGGAGACTAAAATCAACGTGTTTGTCATAGATCATAGTTTTCGGCTGCACATCAACATCAAGTATATGAAATGGTATATGAATACATATGATGCCAACCACATTGTTTCTGTAGAATCTTCTATGTCAAATTGACAAATGTATATGATATATGAATACTAACTGAAAATTGAAATGAGTGAAAGGCTAAAAATGCATATTCTTGGTGATTGTTTTCCTTTTAGTATCAAATGAGTAGTTTGCTGAACATAAAACTTTTATTTGTGTTGATATGTTGTCATCTATTATGGCATGGTATTGGTTGCAAAAATTTGATATTTTTCATTTAAATGCAATATTTCTTATTTAATTGGTACATTTCTTCATTTAAATGCAATATTTTTTTTTTAATGGTATATTTTTCATTTAAATGCAATATTTTTTATTCAAATGGTATAATTTTTCATTCAAATGGTATAATTTTTCATTCAAATGCAATAGTTTTATTCAATTGGTATAGTAGTTTTTTATTTATATGCAATAATTGCATTATGTGAAATTCTTTGACGTCATAAGGTCAAATTTGCAACAACGTTTGTGATTGGTCGGAAATTGTTTGGATGTCTCCCCTTTCTTTCTAAACATGGGTGAAAGATGTTCATGAGTAGTTGACAATGACAAGAATTAAAAAACGCGTCAGAATATCCCCCCTCTAACTAAATCTAACGTTCGTGCGAGTTCTGCACTGGCTGTTAAAATCTTGTGGTCATAACTGTATTTCTATTGCAAAATTTCGATGGTCAAAACGTTCGGTCCACTTTTCAAAAACCGTTTCATTGTTTATGGATTTATATGCAAGTATATCGGTTTTTTAAATAGATTAAACACCGTTGGTTTTCCCGTTTGAATGGTTTTACACTACTAATTTTTTTTTGGGGGGGGGGAGGGGAGGGGGGGGGGGGGCTTTATAGCTTGCTGTTCGGTTTGAGCCAAGGCTTCGTGTTGAAGACCGTACGTTGACCTTTAATGGTTTACATTTACAAATTATGACTTGGATGGAGAGTTGTCTCATCGGCACTCATACCACATCTTCTTATATCTATATACAACGTAAACCAGACGTTTCTCAGACTGTTTTCTTTTTTTAATAAATCCTTTGCCGCGCGTTGTGTACTGATTGATAACTCAGTCTGGGAGAACCAGTTGTAATTAGGTTTGAGCAAACTTCCAGTAATTGCAAATACTCTTATGTCGGTGCTTTGTGTCTATTGTCTTAATGTTAGTTTTTTTGTGTGTCTCGTACCGATCTTTTGAGTTAATTTGCTGATTTGTGCAGGTTGTTATGTTATTGTACTGTTACACCACTGTCCCAGCTTCGGAATGGGTTACTCACAAACATGTTGTTGAACTGTTACACCGCTGTCCCAGATTAGGGAGAGGATTGGGATCCCGCTAACATGTTTAACCCCGCCACATTCTGTATGTATGTGCTGGTCCCAAGTCAGTTGCCTGTAAATCAGTGGTTGCCGTTTGTTGCTTTGTTATACATATTTGTGTTTCGTTCATTTTTTTGTACATTAATTCGGCCGTTAGTTTTCTCGATTGAACTGTTTTACATTTTTGATTTCGGGGCCTTTTATAGTTGACTATGCGGTGTAGGCTTTGCTTATTGTCGAAGACCGTACGGTGACTTATAGCTGTTAATTTCTGTGTCATTTGATCTCTTGTGGAGAGTTGTCTCATTTGCAATCATACCACATCTTCGTTTTTATATCCACCCTGCCATATTCTTTATTTGCCTGTCCCAGGCATGGAGTCTGTAGTTAAGTGGTTGTCGTTGGTTCCTGTCTCGACTCATATTTGAAATTTTGTTAATTGTTTTGTTATAAAGTGGCACATGTATTTATCCTTATATTTTTTATAATCCGGTACATGATAACTGTGTTGTTGCATAAAGAACATTATTGAATATAAAAATATCACAAGTTTAATATTTCGACCCACTAATTGAAAATCAGGCGACGACACAGCATTACAAAAACAGTTATTTTTACGTTCGTAGTAACATAGCAAATTCAATTGTTGGTCACCTGTGTCAATTCACGTGCACACTACGATTGTTGTTGTATTTGAATCGTTCGTTCGTTTTTCAACTGAGAACAGCAAAACGAATAATAATAAATTCATCAACTATATCGCCGGAGTTACATAAAGTACATTTCCTTTAACTGCGCCAATGTTTTGCCGTATCCAATTTTCTCTAAACAAAGCATGGTTACCTGCTCTGATTTTACTTAGAAGTTCGGATTTTTTTTTAAATCAAGTAAACTGAAACAGAAATAAAATCACACTATCCCATGTTGTATCCCTAACACCCCAAGATTCCCTGCTTTAAAAAGTTACTGGATTATGCCATGAAATAATGTAAATTTAAGTAGTCATTTATAACTAATCATTGGACTCCATTTTTCTATTTCTATGTAGTTTCATATTTGAAAAAAAAGTTAAGTATAAGTGAACCTCGTTTTAGGGTCGATGAGGTGGCTGTGATATACTGGCGATTTAATATGAATACTGAACAGTTTATTTCACAAACCTATTTACTGTAGAATCATGTTACAGTAATTTGGTTATTTTTGTATTTACTTCGGTCTCATTTACGTTTATCCAACATCATCAAGTCATTTCATTCATATTTCCTAATTTAGTACACATAATGATGTAACTTAACAAATAAAAAAGCTGCACGGGGTTAATCCAGAACTATCTGAGAGGAGACAGTTGGATTCAATATTTCGCCGTGAAAACCGTTAAGAGTCTTTGTTATCAAATTCAAAAATTTTAAAACAAAAGAACCTTATTATAACTACAGATGGGTGCAGTCCTAAACTGTACAGCTAGTTAACTTAATAAGCAGACTTTATGACTGGTTAAAGTTAACCTAGGACAGGTTTTATGACTGCTGTGACCGGTCCTAGGACAGAATTTGTGTTAACTTAAAAAGCAGACTTGGTCCTTGGACTGTTTAATGATTGCTCGAAAAGTTAACTTCAGGACAGGTCCATGGCCAGTATTGAAGTTAACTTTGCCACAAGCAGTCCTACACACATGTTAACTTATGACCAGGTCTGCTATCAAAAGTCAAACCAGACCTGTTCTTATAAAAGTTAACTTTGGTTTGGTCCATGATAAAGTTAACATGATCCAAAGTTAACTTTGGTCTGGTCTGCTCCTCTAAGATAAAGTTAACTTGATTCCAAGTTAACTTTGGTCTTGTCTGCTCCTCCAAGATAAAGTTAACATGATCCAAAGTTAACTTGTAAACAGGACTGCTTTGATTGATGAATGTCATATGAGTATCGACCTCCGATCAGTGAAAATCATACGATCTTTGTCTTTTTTATGTGAAAACAAATATCAACTATGTTACCAGTAAAATCTTTTGAATAGCAAACTTGTCCACAGGTCTTGTCAGGTCAAGCAGACCTGTCCACAGGTCTTGTCTGGTCAAGCAGACCTGCCCACAGGTCTGGTCTGGTCCGGTCAAGCAGACCTGTCCACAGGTCTGGTCTGGTCAAGCAGACCTGTCCACAGGTCTGGTCTGGTCAAGCAAACCTGTCCATAGGTCTGGTCTGGTCGAGCAGACCTGTCCACAGGTCTGGTCTGGTCAAGCTGACCTGTCCGCAGGTCTGGTCTGGTCTAGCTGACCTGTCCTGGGAACAGGTCTGCTCTATCAAACTTGTCCTCAGAACTGGTCTGCAGCAGTCCTAAAAAGCAGACATGAGGTCTGGTCTGCTAGGGATAAAGTTAACTTACAGGTCTGCTAAAATGTTCCCAAGTTAACCTATAGAGCAGTCGTAAGGACTGCTTTAAGTTAACTTGTGTACAGGTTAGGACTGCACCCATCTGTATTGCACAAAATTATAATATCAATCATTTTTACATGCATATGTTTATAAGTTAGAATTGCCTTGAAATAATCAAGTACACAATCCTTTACGTGATCAGTCCATTCAACTTTCGATCGTCACACAGTTATAGTACGCGTGTTCTATTTTCTTAGGTGTGCTTGGGCGGGGTTTGAAAGTTATGAGAGGTCAAGGTTTGAATTGACCAATGACAACGATCGTACCTTAACGAGTTGATCTAATAAAGTTTGTTTGACTGATTATGTCGCACGGCCTTTCGCTAAGCTTGGTCGCAGTTAAGTGTATTAGCAATCATATTCCATCTCTTCATTTGTATATTATATACGTGACTTCTAAACTCGTGTTTTCCTGAACAAGCATAAAATAATTTTCACTGGGCGTTAAAATTAGCAACAAACAACCAATCAATTTAAACTAGTGTTAAATAAGAGGAAAACCATTTGATATTTATTTATTTGTTGGGGTGAGGGACAGAAGGATTTCATCTATGAATATGGTTGCCTGGTAAGAGCTGAAAAATAGACATGATTAGCGACAGATTGAAATGAATAATAATGCCCTCTCTTCCCTGTCCCATCCTTCATCTATAAATTTAAGCTGACCACCACAGAATAGCCCAATAGTGTTGAAAGTAGCATTAAACATCAATCAATCAAAATCCCTTCCCTAGAATATCAAATAATCGTCCCTTAACTGTTCTTGTCCGTGTAGTTCTTATATTTATCCAGCTTATCGTCCTACAAGGATGTCCTACTAAGGCTGTCATACCATAAAAACTTTATAAAACAGCTCACATTCTAATATATCTGCATTCATAAATTTATTAATTTCATTTAGACTAAACGACGCCATGTTTGTTATGTGCCTCTGCCGTCAACCTATCAAAAAGGAAGAGGTGGAAAAGAGCCAGAAGATCTTCCCAATGCAAAAAAAAACAGAAATGGACTTCTTCTGGCTCACTTCCAAAGAACAAAAAAAAACGCGCCCCATTGATATGTTTTAAAGACGCCTTGCCCCTACCCTTTTTTTCCTAAAAAATTGCATTATTAAATATATAAACATATATATAATCATCAAAATTAAAATGCTATTGTATTTTTATAAGACCTACTTTATTACATGACCTGGGACTAATGACATCTATCTATAAGTCCTAGCATACATTAATTATTATAATATGAATGTTTCTTGTTTTGATAACCACATATGATGCTATGCATGAGTCGC